CACGACCAGGGCATCGGTGGGCGCCGTGAAAAGCGTGCGGCACTCGGCGGTGATGCCCAGGATGTACGGACCCGGCTCCTGGACCAGCTCCTTGGCGTGGCGGGCGTGCACGACGGGCACGTACAGGCCGCTCCACTCGTAGACGCGGACGCAGTAGCGAACGGTCTCGGCGGCCATGGTGAGCATGGCCGGGTAGTGGGAGACAAAGATGATGCGGCGGGTGGGGGAGACGGCGGCCTCGATGACACCGACAATGTTGGGGATGGACAGGCAGCAGAACAGGGGCCACATGGAGAAGTTCTGGAAGCCGGTGGGCGAGGAGGGGAACTGGTAGCACAGGGCGTAGTCCTTCATGTCGATGCGGACGAGGTCGTTGAGGCGGGGTGCCGGGAAGCTCAGGATGCGGGAGACCTCCTCGGCGTGGAACAGGTTGGTGGCCTTGTTCCAGTGGATCCACATGCCGCGGAGGTAGTCGCCCAGCAGGTTGTAGAGCGGGTAGCGGGAGAGGAACGACAGGCAGTAGGGGATCCAGTAGGTCTCGTCCACATTGTCGTAAAAGTCGGGCTCGGTGCGCTTGCGCAGGTCGCGGATTGTCTCGGCACGCTTCTCGTCGGCGCGGGACCAGACGCGGAGGCAAATGCCGTAGAGCGTGTGCGAGGAGTCCTGCTGCAGGACAAACGCATGGTGGACGCAGTGCGGCTGGCTGCGGCCGGTGCAAATCTCGACATCATGAGGGAAGCAGGCCTGGGACGTTGTTAGAACCAATTTTCAACGGGACACATAGATAGCACTACAAAACAAAATACAACAATGGCCGCCGTCATTTGTTGTACTCACCCGCATGGCGGCGTGCAGCGAGCGGGCAATCTCATTGTCCTGCTCCAGACGCGGGCTGCTGCCGAGAATCTCGGGCAGCCAGAACTGGCCGACGGCACCCTTCATGTGGCCAATCTTGCCCTGAGCGGGGGCCGGAGCCTTGACCCATTGCGAGGGCTCACGGCCGACACCGCAGACCATGTAGGCATGGGTGAGGGTCTTGGGCGTGCGCTGCTGGGGCTTGGCGGAGAGCGTAGACGGAATGGGCTGGGTGATGCGGGAGTGCAGCGAGGAGGTGCGGCTGGGGATGATGAGGTTGTTGTCGCCCTGGTCGCGGGTGCTGGGACGGGCGTCGCGGTCGCCGGTGCGCGGCCGGGTGAAGGACGAGTGGGCGTTGAGCGAGGGCGCCATTGTGTCGTCGGCTTTTTTGTGTGATTTTGAAATATTTTGAATGAATTGGCGAATGAAAGATGGACCGGCAGCCGTTCAGAGGGTTGCCGTGTTAGGAGTCAACTAACAGGCTAAAATGAAGAGGGAGAAAAAACAAAAGAGGACGAGAGAATGGGATGGATAATTTGAAGAGAATATAAAATAAAATAAAAATGAGAGTAGTTTTCAGAGCGGCCGAGACGCGTCAAGCTCTTGTTTCTCGCTTCTTTCAACTCTCGTAGTCAAGGCACAGCAAGACTTATCTTTGTTTCGGATGAGTGAGAATGGCAACAAAAGAAGGAATGTAAACAAGGAGGAGGAGCAAGAAAATGAAAACAAATAATAAGAATAGGTCGACCGTTGCAGGAGCACACACAACACACACACGACTGGATGAAGGTGGTGATACTGCCCTGGAGGGTTAGTAGGGGAAAAGAAGAGGAAAGGGGGGAAGAGAGAAGAAAAGAAGTAGGAGGGGACGAGGACGAAGGGGAAAAGAGGAACAGGAGAGTGGAAAAGGAAAGTTGAAATGAGACAAGCAGCCCTGTATGTTGTAATACTCTGTAGACAGCGAGCAGTGGGCGGACGAGGGACGAGGGACGAAAGACGAAAGACTAAAAAAACGAGGCCCAGACCAGAAACGGAAAAAGGCACGCAGGCAAAGGTCCCCGGGGTCAGGTCGAGGGAAGATTAAGTGACTAGGGTGGTGTGGACACAAGCTCAAAAAAGAGGAAAAGAGGCTCTCATCGTCGGGGAGTGGACGTGAGGGAGAGAGGACGAGGTGTGGGTGGGCGAGGCCAGCTGGGGTGAGTGCGGGAGTGCGGTAGAGCAGGAGGCTGGAGGCTGGCATGCAGTTCTCTCCTGTCGATCAACAGGGCATTTGCAAGTCTCCCAGCGGTCGATTTCTCAGGTAATTACGTTTAGGCCGTAGACTCAAAACACAGCAGCCAGGCAGGAGAGCATCGAAACATGCTGGTAGTGGCCTCTCGAGAGCAATTAATTAAGCTCCAGGTTCCAGGCCGACTTGATGCTTGATGCTTGCTGTGCTGAGGGACTTTCGAACCAGCTTTTCCAGTTGCATTTGGATTTTGCGGCTTGTTCGGGGCAAAACGCTCGAGCCTCAGGGACACTGCTGCATGACGGAACTGGAATAGTTAGAAGCACTTACTTCGTAGAAGTAATAGCGTGTCCAGGTAACTTTGTTGCAAAAAGGACCAGGTCAATGTTCATGACGAGGACAGCATGCAGGCGATGGAGAGGCATGCAGCCGATGTAGCCGTCTGCTCCCCCGATGGTGTCTAGGCTTCAGGGGAAGCAGAGCCTGTCAATATCAGCATGGCGAGTCAATAGTGCGGATGTCTCAGTGCGTGTGATGCTTGCAATGGTTGTGAGGCAATTCGTGGGCCTTCGTGAGTCCAAGCAAACAGAGGCAGCACGTTCCCAGCACACGTCTCGGGACATGCCCATCCATCAGAGGCAACAGGCCCGCGCGCGACGACCAATCCAGTAGGGAATGAAACATTGAACGGGTGTTGGGAAATAAGATGGCCAAGGTGGGCACCATGTGCCACGGGGTGGTCCTTGGATGGCACAGAGCCAGTGCCAAAGACGCGAGGTCAGGCTCTTTTTCGTGCTCAGGTCTCCCACTCTGGTCACTCTGCCACTCTTTTCCTCGTTTTTCCTCCGCTATCCCTCGCTTTTTGTCCACTCTCGTTACATCGTAGAAACCGACAGGGGTCAAGCCGGGATGGTGTGGGTGGGTGCACGGGCAGGGATACACGCGAGCAGGGGCCAGGGGTATTGGGTTGGCTTGGCGTCGATGTGCCCCTTTTCTGTGCTTTTTGTGCTTTTATGTGGTGGTCCTTGTGTCCTTTTGGGGGTTTCGTGAGAGTGGGATCAGGTGGGAGTCGACCGGAAGAGGCAGTGAATATGAGGCCAAAACAGAGAAAGGAGATGAAAGGGGAGAGTTGGTCCTGTTGTTTTTACTTTGTCAATTGGAAAGTACGCGTGTTCTGCACAATGGCAGTCGCCACAGTCGTACTTTCCCCGAGTCGTATGTTTGTCTACGGACTCGTACACAAAAGCCCAATCGTCTCGAGGGATCGCGCCTTCCTTGCAGCGCTGGGATATCACAAGAGAAAAAGGAAAGAAGCAGAGGTTTGAACGGACGGCGGAAGCACCTTCCTCGCGCCGTGGTGATTTCCCCTTGCACCTGCCAGCATGTACCCCTTGCAGTTGGGAGGGACGCCATGCCCCTTTTGGTGCTAGTGAGCGAATCGTGTCTGATTTGGCTGCTTTTTCTTGTCCCTCAATTTCGAGTCAACACGAGATCGAACGAAACGGGGGGACATGAAACGATTGAACAAGCTGAGCGACACTGCAGCCACTATCGACTCCCGCCAGCCCTGGCAGACCGAAATCACTGCGCAGTACCTACACTAAACGCGTCGCCGGAACGCCATGGCGTTCGCTGTTCGGTGATCAGGCTGCCAGGATGAGAAGAGAAATCAACGATACCGTGGTATGTAAAGAGAGATATCAAGAGAATCGACGACAAGAACAAAGCGGTGCTTGGCGAATGCATTGCCAACTGGGCAGTGAACAACGGTGAGTTACAGAACATCAAACACGGCCAGCCATCCTCCGCAAGAACATCCATTGGTTTTGAGCTTAATTAAGAACGAATCCACGAGAAACAGTGGTAGAGAAACCAAAACCAGAAACTAGAAACAAGAACACAAAAACAGAAACGAACAAGACCAAAAAAGGGGCGTTTATGATCTTCGATCGTCTCGGCCATTGCAGCTGGACCCGGGTTTCAAAACGGAGACGCAAAGAATGTCCAGCCATGAGGAGGCCAGAAGACCTCGTGGAAATGAGCTTCACAGACGATGCAAGACCAAGAAGCCTGACGGTGACGCGTGGGAAGCATGCACTAGTCCCTCGGGCAGTTTTCTTTCGGTTTCTTTTCAACCTCGATTGCATTCTGATCGGGAAGATTACGGGGCCCTCCCGCGAAGGCCCACTGGTAGAATGAGGATGTGCGGTGCCGACACGACAAGAAAGGAAGTGATCAGAGAAGGGACAAGAACGTCTGACAGAAAAGAAAACGGAAGCTATGCTAGGCCAAGCTGGCGGTGGATTCAGGTGAGCTTCAGTGGGTTGTGTGATTTTAGTATGCGTCGAATTCCCATTTTAACGGACCTCACAGTCGGCCTGAGCTCTGCCGTCTGCACTGCATTTGCATTCCAGCTTTGCATTGCAGCTTGCATTGCATGGCGTTGCAACGTGAGGGCAGACGAACTGCACGCTTTGAGCTGCTTGGGCCCATCGAACCCGACATTGCCTGCGGAGAAACAAGCTCAAAGGTCATGCCAGACAAGTGGATGAAAGACACCGAGCCAGAGGATTGTCGAGGCTGGCAAACAATGACATGGAATCGACTCGAGAGAACAACAAAAGTCGGCGTCCCAAGACCGACCCTAACCAGCCTGGACTGTTGATACGGAGGAATAAAGGAAATCGACATCAGACCATTGGCGCCCACTTTGCTTTCATTTTTTTTTTTTCAATTTTTTTTTTCTTTTGCCCGATGTCCCGCAGACGGAACCATCGTCCAAACAGAAAGGACAGGCCACTAGCCAACCGCCTAGCCCTTTGAGTTGGAGTATTTGTGGGTGTTGGAACGATTGCCTTCAACTCTATCGGCCTTCTCATATCAAAACCCACGAGTAAAATGGGCGGCCGACTGAGACATGGCCGACAGCACTAGACTAGAAATCAAGAGCAAATGTCTGGTATCGGGACAAAACGTCGAAACGAGAAAAGATTGGCCTGGGTCCCCTCTTTTTCAACAGGACGCGGAGAACGGACGAGACGGTTACGACACCGGTTCGACACTTTGCAGTGAGCGTCCAGCTGAGAGCCACGAGAAGGGGCTCCATTCAGCGACATGTCTAAGACGATCAATGGAGGGGCATGTCTTTCTCTCAGGTGAGCGACAGGAAAAGAAAAACAACACAACATACGTTGTGCTCGGCCGGTTGGACCTCCTCTGCGCTTTGACCCGCGAGCATGGAAGCAATGGTAGGCACCCAAAGGAGGAGACGGTACGATTGACTTTGTCCATTGTCCATCCTGCATTGCGGGGGCCAAGGCCCTAGCCGTCATCGCCGTCGATGTTGTGTCGTCCAAATCACACTTTCAAGGAGCAGGGCAGCATAGGGATGTTCAACGGAGAGAAGGAGAGGGACAATGAAAACAAGGAAAAGAGACGAAGAGACGAGGAGACAAAGAGACAAAACAAAGAGACGGGAACGTGGTCTACGTGGTCAACGGAATGCAACAGGAAGAACTCAGACTACAAAGGAGAGACAAGAGAGGGGACCACGGCAGCACGGCTCGACCGAGACAGACAGTGGAGGATGCAAAACAGAGTCGACCAGCCCCATCACTGCTGATCAGTGGCCCAGATCCAGCGTGGGACCGTCATGGCCGAGCAAAGGGAGAGGAGGGAGGATATGCGCACGCAGTGGATGGAAGACGTTTACCCTGCGTTGTCGATCCAGTTGTTTTGCTCGTGTGTTTTGCTCTGACGTGTGGCTGTCCTGTCTGTTCTCGTTACTGCTTTCTCGTTCCCTCCCTGCCGTGCGTGGTCGACCAAAGACGTGCCGATCGAGACAAGACAACATGTGGCAAGCTGAAGGAGGCAGACCGCAGGAAACGTCAACGCAAGGGAGGCCAAGACTGATTGTCTACGTTTGTGAGGCCCTGGAGGAAGAGGTACGAGACAACACAACGCCAACGTAAGGGACGGATGGATGGAGAGAAAGAGACGCACGTTTCAAAAACAAGAAAGTAGAATGAAATGCATGCAACGGTCATGGACAGGCATTGCCAGCTGCCAGACTCTGGGACGACCGTTGAACACTGTCATGAGACAGAATGGACACAGAAAGAAATAAAAAGTAAGGAAAATAGAGAAAGTAGTGAAAGTATTGAAAAAGAAACAAAAGGGAAACAAGACGAAACGAAACAAGCGGTCACAAAGGAGATGTATGTCGTAAAGAACAGTAACGCGAGCATAGTAACACGAGCATATAAAAAGGAAAGAAGAAACGGATCGCATAACACTGTATAGTCTTCCCACGCCGGGATGCCTGTAGAACCAGTAGAAAAGAAAGAAAACGAAATACAAGACCAGCAGAGACTCATTGCACAGTCTTCACGACCCGCAATCTATACGTCTGTTGCTCTCCGTATCGCTCTCGGTGCATCGACAGACGCGTCGCGTTGTGCAACCAAGCACGAGGTTCGTCTCTACTTTTGTCTGTTATTTTCGTGGGACGACAGCCGTCCTACATGTCGTGAGCGGTGTTGCACAGAGCACTTTCGATACTGTGTCCTGCGTGTGAATCGCATTCATTGTCATACAGCATGCTTCCTGTATTGGTGCATAGCCTGACGCTGTCACAAAAGGGGCGACGCTGTTGGTGGCACAGGAGAAACGACACTCTGAATGTTTTGTTTCTGAACATCACATCATACGACGTCGTCGGCACCTTGGAAATTGCACACTGCAACCCTCTTGCTCGTCCGCGTCGGTTGAACGTTGCATCACGAAATGTCTTTGCAAGTGGTTCCTTACTGACCACTATAAAGTACGTTATACTCTCCTTGTTTATATACCCCATATATATCACATATAAATACCACATATATATACCACATTGTCCTTGGCAGTTGACTGTCACGGCATACTCTATTCGGAATAGAGACATGCAACCAATGGACAGCCGTTGTCACATACGACCGTTGCATGATAGCGTCTACGCAATAGGGATCGCAATTCCATCACACGAAAGCAGTGACTGTGAACCGAAGCACAGCTTCGAAGCCCAACGTCCCACCGCATGCCAATTTGTGGCCCATTCCAATCTTGTAGTACGTCCATAAGCACATTGCAAACGCATAGTGGGTGCTGCAGATCCAGAAAGAACACAAAGTAAATTCAAAAAAGACTAAATGCTTCAAACAACTCATATGTCATTTCAGCCATTCAAAGAAGAAAGAGGGGGAGAGGCGGTGTGAAGTAGAAAACGAAATCACAGAAATATGTAAAGGTAGAAGAAGAGGGACGACTGACGCAAGGAAATAAAACGAATAGAGATTGGAAGAAGGAAGAGGACATGAAGGTGACGGTCGAGGTGAAGGCCAATGTGAACAGTCAATAGGTCGGTGTCGAGCAAAACAGAGCCCACCCAATGCGAAAGGTATCAAGGCGAAAAGAGGAAAAGGACGAGTAGAGAAGACAAACAAAATTAGAGGTAGACGAGGCGCTAGGGAGAGGCAAGGCAAAAGAGCAGAGGTCGCGCAGGTCGCGCAGGTCGCTTGCGCAAAGACCGCTGTTTGTTTTGTTTGGTGATTCAAGGGTGAGACGGTGAGGAGGCGTCAACGTGGAAAAGTAAAAAAAAGACAGGGGCAGAAGAACGGAAAGTCAATCAATCTCAACGCATCGCAAGACGTAAAATCAAAATCCACAAAGCAGAACAGAAAAAGGACAAGAAATATCCAGAATATGATGGAAAATGAGAGGGAAATGAGAGGGACAGGAGAAGGAGACGGACAAAGACGAAGACGACACAGACAAAAAACTTAGAAGCAGTTCAGAGAGCCCTTCTTCTTCTTCTTGCTGATGGCGTTCATGCGCTCCTCGAGGTGGGCGCGCGCAATCTCGGCGTCGCGCCGCTTCTTGCGCTCCTCCTCCACCTGGTGCAGGCTCCACCGGTTGTCCTGCGCCGGCTTGTCCTTGAGCTCCTTGTTCTCGCTCTCCAGCTCCTGCGCGCGCCGGCGCCACGCGTCGCAGTCCGTCTTGAGCTTCTTGGACTGCTCCTCGAGGTCCGACAGCGCCTCCTCCAGCGTCTGCGTGAGCTGCTTCTCCGCGTCCAGGTGCTTCTCGATGGTGCGGATCCGCGCCTCCTGGTCCTGCTGGATCTGGTGCAGCGCAATGTCCTTGCTGGGCGGCCGCATCGTCGTCGGCGTCGACGGCACGTTGTTGGCCGTCGGCGGCGGCGAGCTCGAGCTCGGCAGCGGCGGCAGCGGGATCGCCGGCGGCGGCGACGGCAGCGACGCCACCGACGAGCTCTTGCGCAGCTGCGAGCTGGCCGAGTTGGACCGCTGCGGCGCGCTGCTGCCGTCCGCCGGCAGGATGCCCTCGAACCGCGCCTGCAGCGCCGCGTACTCCTCGCGGATCGCGTCCAGCTCCGACTGCATGCGGATCTTGGCCGACGTCGCCTCCTCCAGCTGCTGGTGCCGCTCCGACTGCAGCGTCGACAGGCGGTTCGTCGTGATCTGCGCCTGGTCGAAGTTGGTCTGCAGCTGCTCCTCGAGCTCGTCCACCAGCCGCGAGTGCTTCTTGTTCTTCGTCTCCAGCTCCGTCAGCCGCTTCTGCACCGCCGCCGCCTGCTCGGCCACCGTGGCGTTGGGCTTGCGGTTCACCTCCGCGTCCGGGCCCAGCACCTGCGTCAGCGTCGCCCGCGCCGTCTCCAGGTCGCGCATCACCGAGTCGCTGATGCTCGTCAGCTCCTTGACCGTCTCCTGCAGCTCGTACGACTTGTTCTGCTCCACGCCGAGCGCCTTCTGGTCCGCAATCAGGTCCTCGATGCGCTCCGTAATCTTCTCCACGCTGACGTCCAGGCCCAGCGCAAACGCCACCTGCGTCGCCACCTTCATGAGGTCCTCGCGCGCCTCCGTCAGGTCGCTCTCCAGGATGCGAATGTTCTCCGCATGCTCCGTCATGAGCACCTGCACCTCGTCGTCGTACTCCTTGCGCGACGACGCCTGCAGCGTCTCCAGCTCGCGCGCGTGGTTGGCCTCCAGGGTCGCGAGGCCCTCCTTGTGGGTCGCCAGCGCCTTCTCGTGGTCGCCAATCTTGGTCTCGAGCTGCGACACCAGCGACTTGTGCGTCGCCGCCTCAGCCGAGGCAGCATCGCGTGCCGCCACGGCCTCCTCGAGCGCCGACTTGGCCGACGCGTGGGCCGCCTCGAGCTCCGCGACCTTGGCCGCGTTGCTGTTGATAATGGCCTTGTACTCGTCGACCTCCGTGCGCAGCATCTGCACCTGCTCTTCCTGCTTGGTGCTGGCCTCGGTGTTCTTGGCCGACGCCGCGAGCTGCTCGTTGGCCGCGGCCAGCTGCGACTCGAGCTGCGCAACGTGCTCCTTCATCTGCTTCTCGGTCGCGCCCATCGACGCCAGGGCCGTCTCGTGCTTCGTCTCCCAGCCAGCCAGCTCGGCCTCCAGGCCGCGCACCTTGTCGGCGTGCTCCTGCTCCTGGGCCGTGTTGCGGGTGTCGATGCCACCGTCGGGCTTGAGGGACGCCCGGAGGCTCTCCAGCTCGGTCTGCAGCTCCTGCTCGCGCGCCGCCTGTGCGCTCTTGAGCTGGTTCATCTGCCTCTCGTTCTTCTCCAGCTGGTCGCGCAGCGTCGACACCACAGACATGTCCATGGGCGAGCTCTTCAAGCTGGAGCGCTCGCGCGTCAGGCCCGAGATGATGGCCATCTTGGTGTCCATCTCCTTCTTGGTCGACGCGACGTCGGCCTCGAGCTCCTGGATGCGCTCTGAGCGCGCGTGCAGCTCGTGCATGGCCGCGTTGATGTTCAGCTCAAAGTTCTGCATGACGTCCGGGTTGCCCTCAAAGTTCTCCGTCGCAATGTTCCGCAGCGACGCAAACGACCGGTGCGCACGGTCGATAATCATGACGTTCTGGCTCGACTTGCGACGAATCACGGGCGTCGACGAGCGCGGCGACGTCACTTCGGCCGCCTGCTGCGCCTTGGCCACCTCCGTCTTGAGCTCCTCGACCATGTCGAGGGTCTGGTGGTGCTGCTGCTCCAGCTCGGCGTACTTGCCCGAGAGCGTCTTCTCGGCCTCTTCCTTCTCGGCGGCCAAGGCGCGCAGGCGCTCCACCTCGGCTTCCAGGATGCTGTCGCTGGAGGGCGACAGGATCAGGCCGCGGCCGTTGACCGAAGGCGACTGGGGCACGGCCGCCTCGTGGGCAACGTCGCGCTCGTTGGTCTGCTCGGTCTGCTCGGCCTGCGGCTGCTCCTCTGCGTTTTCGTTCTCAGAAGAAGGCGCCATGTCGCGCACCTGGGGAATGGCCAGAGCAGCAGCGGCGACATCGATGCTCGTGGGACGCGTGCCCTTCTTGACGGGTGCCAGGGTCTCGGCGTCCGAGTGCTCCATGGTAGCGGGCGACTCGAGCGCAGACGACAGCTCCGAGGAGAGCGACCGCGACGACGAGTAGTGGCGGTTCTTCTCGGGCTCGCTCGACCGCGCGTCGGACAGGTACGACGACGGGCGGGTCTGCGATGTCTCGGCAGCGGACAAGATGGAGTCGCGGACGGTCTGTCGCGGATGGCGGGCCTCGTCGACGGCGTCCTGGAGCTCGGCAAGCGTGCGCAGC